CCCTTAACTGGGGGGAAACGTCTTCATGCCTTTCCGTTTGGTAATAAGATCGAAATGAACAAGAGCGAATCAAGATGGAATTGAACTTGACACTCCTAATTTTTTTTTTACCTTACTTTCGGAACAATATTGTAGAAATGATATAATTCGAAAAGCTTTCTTTTTAATGATAATACTCAGTCTTGCCTACTATTTAACCCATAGGTGGAGTAAGTGGGATTCATGCCTTTTCGACTGAATGAAAACCAAACAGCTGAAATTGAACTCGATACGTCTAATTTATTTTCCTGGCTTATATCTATTACACAATCAGCGCTTCCATATATAACGAGTAGCAGATTAAAAACATAGCTTTCTGTGTTTGCAGATTGTTACTGATGAAGGGGGCACTTCGACTAGGTGTAATGGTTAACAACCTTGTCTCGCTAAAACAATTACGTCTGATTAGTGAGTCCGATACTCAACTAGTGCTCCATACTTTCGGCCTTGTGCCACCTATAAGCTACGCTTAGATGATAATCACCATGGAGAGTCGGGGATGAAATAATGATTTAGAGACGCGGGTTTTCTTGCAGAATATCTGAAGAGACTATTTACTGAAGTTGAAAGATAGTTTGCAATGAAAAGGCTTTGAATTTAGATATTAAAATTCTTCTTGGAGAGAAAGAGAAAAAAAAGAAGGATAATTTCTGATCTCTTTGTTCGTTTTTCGCATCTAAAATTAATAAGTTTCACCCTCCTCCAAACACCCACCTTCCAGTCAGAAGCCTCATTGGGGATGTAGTTTATCGTAATACCCAGAACCGTAACTTTCTGTATTTTATATCGTGTTAATGACGGTTGCCATTGGATAGCATTTTTTGGTTGAATCTGTCAGGAGTACTTGCCAAGAACATTAACAATGAGTACTCCTTATGACAAAATCTTTGTGGCAAGCTCTCCAGATCAATTCATATCTGTTGGAGACTTCAATCGATTTTCATCTGGCAGGAACATCTGCTGTCACATTTTACACATTTCTATCTGGCACGTATCACTTTGGTTCATAAACGTTATTTATGATATTTTATGCAGTCACGTGGTAGCGGAACAGTAAGAGCAGTTCATCTCACATCTCCAGCATCTTCCTCAGTATTCATACCGAGCCTAAAACCAATTTACTCATCCTAAGGTGTTTTGAACCGGAGTAGAAGTTCATCCCTTATTTCCTATAGATCTATAATACTGTGCCTAAACTCTGAAATTTTATTTACTATTTATTTACCTTATTTTCTCCCCTCAGTAAGAGTTGATAGATTTGCCCATCGTCAGGCTTAAACTCCTTTCTTGTCTTTTGAACAGGAGTATATTGGCTTTCTTTTTTTTTCTTCTTCTATTTCACTTCCGGCAGCTTCTTGCGTCTTAGGGGCTTTTTCGCCTTGCTTGTGGTAAATTAGTTTAAAAAAAAAAAGTCTTCTCTGATGTGTCTACATTTATTTTCTGTAGCATTCATCTTTAAAAGTTAATTTAAGTATTCAAATAAGCATCAAGTTCTACTGTTTTGTAGCTTACGGGCGTTGTCCTGGTGTTTTTGTAAATGTTTATTTTATATTCCTCTTAGATATTCAACCTCCCCAATTTAAGTATTCACGTAAAGCCTCTTTACTTTTCATTTGTGTTTTGAATAATTCGCTGCAAAAAACGCATATCATGATGAAAAATGTGCAAAACTTGACAAAATCTTTTTTTCTTCAAAATGTTTATTAATAAGTGTAAAGATCAAAGTGTTTTTGATTATTGAATAATATTTTTACTACTTTCGAGTCCGTGAGAAATTTTGTTTGAAAATCTTGTTTTGCTTGCTCCAGTGGGAATGTCAAAGTTTAGTATTAGGAAATTTAGCGCCTTTTTTCCGGTAAAAAACAAAAAAACATTTGATTTGGAAATTCTTGCAAAAAATAAATAATCGGCGGATTTTAATGAAACTTTCTTGACTTATTCAGAAATTAATAAAATTATTTAAAAATTCTTTTTTTTTAAAAATCATAGTAGAAACATTTTTTTTATATCTAGCCGATTTTTTATTATACGGTCGACCATACACGACATTATCAGAAAATAAGAACGATAACTATAGTAAATTTACAACCAAAACTATTCCAATTCAATGAAACATTAGATTACGAAGAATATTTTCTTAAATTTTTAAGATTACTGAGCACTTAAAGATGGAGTAGATGTTCGTCAGTAAGAGGAAATGAAATTACAAAATCTCCTACAGAAAGGTAGCGACGGACAGTGAGACGAAAGGACTAAGGATAGACTATTAGAAGACGTATTCCAAAAGGTCGTCAGTAAGAGGATGAACCCGAAATGCGATCTGAAGGTCGGGGACACTAGAATCAAGCAGACGCGGAAGTTGAAATATCTGGAAAGCGGTAAGTGCTACACTGAGATCCGTAGACGTATTGGAATGGCCAAGGACACATTCCAAAAGCTGGACAGAATACTGCGAGACAGGAGGATTTCTTTGGCAACAAAGAAAAGAATACTGAACTGTTACGTGACATCTGTCCTTCTTTACAGCAGCGAATATTAGACACTTTCCTCAAAGATGAAGAAGAGACTCGAGGCGACATAGATGTGCTTCTACAGAAGGATGCTCAGGATATCATGGACCGAGCGTGTGAGCAATGATGAGGTCTTAGAGAAGTTGCAATCAAGAAGGAGGCCTATCCTTAATATCAGGAAGAGGCAACTGAAGTTTCTGGAACACATAATGAGGATGTAGGACCTAGCGAATCTGATACCCACGAGTCGAATATAGTGAAAGAGAAACAAGGGAAAACAACTCGTGACATACCTGGCGGACTTAAGCAAGTGGATGACAGAACGTGGTCTAGGGGAGGAAGCAGAGGGAAGGAACTTGTTGAGAACTGCAAGGGATATAAGGAGGTGGAGAGCCATGATCGCCAACGTCTTGAAAGGATATGGCGCATAAAAAGAAAGAAAGAGTATTTCAAAATTATATATAAAAGGTGCACACGTTAATTCAATTACTTTTTTAATGCCTAAAGCCTCAAGAGAACAACATTAGATAAATATCAACCTGTCATGATGCTATCAAACCCATGAACGCCTTTAAACAGCTACTGTTGGGTTGAAAAATTCAATTTTTCGATATTTTAAACTTAAAGTAAATAATATTTCTTTGAAATGAAATTAATTATACTTTAAATCTTCTAATATTCCTCAAATAAAATTTCAGAAAAGTATATTTTATTTTTGAAGATTTTTTAATAGAGAATTACATTGCAATACATTACAACAACAAACCAGCTATTTTAGAAAAAAAAAAAATAGAAATTCTTTCCAGACAATTTAAATTAGTTTTTTTAAATGCAGCAAAGTATTTTGTTTATCGGAAATATTAAATTTAATGTATTAGCTTGAAATTAAAACTAAAATAAAAGCTTCAAGAAAGATTTTTCATTTTTAAAAGTTTATTTTAAAACTTAGATATCGTTTGTTTTTTTTTTGTTTTTTGGAGGTACCCACTGTATATAAATATATTTTCTATCTGTCATGCTATCCATAATTAAGGTAAAATTTAAACGACACATGAACTGAATGTGGTACGGAATTTCAACTCGAACTTTTGTGAGCAGCAACATTTGCCAACATTTTTTGGCAATAATATTCATCTTGTACAACACCCAAGAGCCACTCGAGGTAAAGTGTTACCCAGTAAGTGGTTATTGGATATGCGAGGAAGATAATGGTTAACCCTAGACATGATTGTAGCGATCGGGGAAACGCCTTCATGGTAGTCGGTTCGTGGGAAGTAGCTGAATTTACATCTTACCAATGTAATACGGAGGGAACGAGGCTGCTTGGGTGCTACAGGGCGTGGCATGGTGGGCCCTAGCCGGGATGATTACAACTGGTGAAAGTAGTTTGTCTGAACACTTGCAATGGAAATAGCGATAGGGCAGCAAGACGATTGAAACCTTTTGTCTGGAGGAAAGCGGTTGTTGCATGAGGGTAAATAGTTCTTCAGGGCGTCAGCGAGCATGGCTCTCCCCAATTTCCTATAATTTGTAACTCTTTATATATATGTTGTTCTTTTTTTTATCTCTGCTAAACATTGTTCTGCCATCCATTTACTCAAGCTCATTCTTCTTCAATGTGCCATGTCCCTTCAGGACGTTGGTGATCATGGCTCTCCCCAATTTCTTTTCCTTTGTAGCTCTTAATAAATGTTGTCCTTTTGTTATCTCTGCTAAACATTGTTCTGCCATCCATTTACTCAAGCTCATTCTTCTTCAATGTGCCGTGTCCTTCAGGACGTTGTGATCCCTTCCCCAATTTCCCTTTCCTTTGGCTCTTAATAAATGCGTTATCTCTGGTTCTGATCATTTACTCAAGGCTCCCTTCCCCAATTTCCTTTCCTTTGTAGCTCTTAATAAATGTTGCACTGACATATATCGTAGTGAATGTTTTTTGTCATTAAAACGGCATGTGGAAATATAATAGTTTACTCTAGATTTGGATAGAGTAAGATTGTATTTATTGGGGGGGGAAGCATTATCTTGGTAATCAGTTCCACTTCATAGCGGTTCGTGAGAAGAAGTTAATCGAGCGGAACCTACGAATGGAATGCGAAGGGAAGGTAGATGGTTCGCTACAATGGTTTAAGTAAGGAATGTAGTTTTTTTTTTAAACACTTTCCATGGCAATAGCGACAGAGCAGCGAGAAGTTTAAAAGTGTACACAAGAACACGCTAAAGTGCGAAAGAGACATGTGTCACAAAATCTATGAACGTAGGAAGGAATAATGCCGCTGGCACAATCAATACGACTACACTGTTACTCGTGACAATTAAATCTGTGGGGTAGGAATGGCTGACTGGACAGTCCTCACGAAGGAAAATGTTGGGGATATGAAAAACGTGGGAATCTTTTGTAAATGAGAGAAGATACGGAACTGCAAATATTTGCTCGATTGAAATCAATAGTGAATGGAATATTACGAAGAAAAGAGATTGCTAAAGACGAACACTAGAATATTTAATTTACATCTATCTATCTATCTATCTATCTATCTATCTATCTATCTATCTATGTCGGTTCATTGTATAAATTTTCTATCTATTTATCAGTTCACTTTCTTGCTCTCAGTCATGTGTGATCTATCTATCTATCTATCTATCTATCTATCTATCTATCTATCTATCTATCTATGTCGGTTCATTGTATAAATTTTCTATCTATTTATCAGTTCTCTTTCTTGCTCTCAGTCATTTGTGATCTATCTATCTATCTATCTATCTATCTATCTATCTATCTATCTATGTCGGTTCATTGTATAAATTTTCTATCTATTTATCAATTCTCTTTCTTGCTCTCAGTCATTTGTGATCTATCTATCTATCTATCTATCTATCTATCTATCTATCTATCTATCTATCTATCTATCTATCTATCTATCTATCTATCTATGTATGTCGGTTCATTGTATAAATTTTCTATCTATTTATCAGTTCTCTTTCTTGTTCTCAGTCATTTGTGATCTATCTACCTACCTACCTATCTATCTATCTATCTATCTATCTATCTATCTATCGATCTATCTATCTATCTCGGTTTATTATATAAATTTTCTATTTATTTATCAGTTCTCACTCTTGCTCTCAGTCATTTGTGATCTATCTATCTATCTATCTATCTATCTATCTATCTATCTATCTATCTATCTATTTATGTTCACATCTGTCTATCTTAGTATATATCTCTCTATCACTCTATCTTTCTCTCTATCTATCTGTCCGTTCTTCTGTCTTTTCGTCTCTCTCTCTCTATCTCTTATTGAAATCTTACATACATACCTACGTACACACACACACACACACACACACACACATATATATATATATATATATATATATATATATATATATACGATTAAAACTAAAGATGGTACACGTGTGCTTCTTAAAATTTATAGACTTAATAGGCATGTTAATGAAATTTGGGGAACCATAAGACAACCATATGATGACAATATTGTCAATAAGCTTGAGGAGATATATATATATATATATATATATATATATATATATATATATATATATATATATGTGTGTGTGTGTGTGTGTGTGATATTATATATTAGTAGGCCTTTTGACTAAATTGAAACACGAAAAGGTCTACTCGTATATCATAGATATTATCAGTCTTATTAACAATATTTTTATCATTGTTTTTGTATATAAAATCTCTCTCCTTCGTTCTGGTTATATATATATATATATATATATATATATATATATATATATATATATATAAATATAATAAGCAAATAAATACAAATGATACCTCCCTTGTATAGAAAAAAATGCTTTTGAATTTGAATTTGACCCAGAAACGCTGTAAAACGTAGTACAAGGAACAGTGAAAAAATATTTTGAATTTACGGAGCTCCGTATACGAATACACGGAGAATTTCAACCCCACTAAAGATTGTCTCAGATGAGATTGAATGCACTTGGGAAAAGAAAAAATTGAAAGAAAATTTTTGTATTTTTCTTAATCAATTTTCTACGACCACTAAGAAATTAAGCTGTGGAATAGAAAGGATTAAAACTAAAGTAAATTGACATAATTCGTCTAAATTACTTAATCAAATATAATGACTTTCCTAGACTAGTTATTAGGAATATTAACATAAATAAAATGAATTCCCATCATCATATAACTCTAAGCATATCAAATGACTATATCGCAAGTAAAAAAAATAAAATTAATTATACTGTATACTAAATTTAATACAACCAACTTAGTTGTCCAAAACAATTCTTCTCCACCAAAATAGCATCTTGCAAAAGACTAACATTGTATATTAATTTAAATGTCCTTTAGGTGACTGTATCCCTGATAATGTCAATACGTACGTTGGTTTTACTACGACAATGCTAGCAAAAAGACTTACATTTCATTTGGCTGTTCATAGCTCAATACATCAGCACTTAATGGAACACTCATTCCCACACTCACAGATTAGACGGATATTGGTTGAAAATACATCTATATTACATAAAAACAATGTGAAGCAAAAATTAAAAATTCTTAAATCCCTTTTTATAAGGGAGTTAAAGCCCAAAAGAAATAAAGTTAATTATCAGTATTGCAACAAAGTCCTTAAATACTTATGAAAAAAAAGAAGCAAAAACAAAATGGCTACTTCCCTTATACTGGAAAAAAACCCCAAAAGAACATGTGAACTTTGAACTTAGAAATCTAGAACGCTGCATAAGCAGTAAAAAAAAATGAAACAACGAACAGTTGAAATGAAAGTCCTTGATTAGTCAAAATGGTTTCTAGGCTCTCCTTCGTTTATTCATGATTCGGTCCTGCCAATGGTTCCGCATGATTTGAGAAAGTTTCCTTTAATCGAATAATTCAAGTGTTCGGATCTCTGTTCTGTAGAGTAAGCTGGTCTCACTGCCGTACATGAGAGTCAAGATTACAGCAGCTCGATAGACCATGATCTTGATGGCAAAAGTAAAATGTTGTAGAAACTAACTGAGGATGATTTAGCCATCATTGGGTATTCAATACATATGCCCACATATGACTCCCAGAAATCAGTTAAATGCCATGCATGATACACGCTAAGGCAATAATGTATCTTTAAATACATGACCGGGTGCCAGTATAGGAGGGGGTGACACAATGTTACTCCCAACAAAATTTTTCAACCAGGCTAAGGTGCCAAAAATAGTCTGAAAACAGTGGAGGAGACACAGGGTTTCGCAGGCGGGTATATGACTCCCCAGAAATGATTTATGACCACCCCCCACCAGTTTTGTCCTCCCGTCAGAAATTTTCTAATAAATTGTCGGGAAATTTGTGAGTAGCAAAAATAGCAATGTTTTCAGCTTTCATGTGTTTCAGTTGCTACAATCTTGGTTACTAACAAGACTAGACATTGTTGTAACATTTTATCGGATGACATGGTGTTTTAACTCTGCATCATTAATAACAACAAAGCGAAATACGAAGCCAAAAGTGCAACAATTTCAGTCTTGCCTGTGTATCAATTCGCTGAGATACAATTTTCCATTGAGTGAGCGATATACTTTTGAATATATCTACTAGTGTTGGGACGATTAATCGGAATCGGAAAAATCGGAACTTTTTGGGGTATCGGAATCGGGAAGATTTGTGCCTATTTTCCGATTCCAAAAACGATTCTTTTAAATTTTTAACTTATTATTGGTACTAATGATAAATATTTATTGTTTTTAAATTATCACTAAAACTAAAATCATAATAACATCAAAATACGATGTAAATTTATTTTCCTTGTTTAAAGAAAAACAAAAAAATAAACTTTGCATAAATTCTCTAGGTAACCTTTAAAAGAATGCAGTTGATTTACAATGTTCCGAAAAATGCTTAAAAATTAAATAGAACATTTTTGTCAAGAAAAATACTTTCAAACATCATTGATAATTAAATGGTACCCAGAAAATGATACAACGGAAAATTGGACACCGGAAAATTAGCAACAGAAAATTTCATCAACCATGAGCCAGTCCATTGAAAACGAGTTTACAAGACAAACAGATTTTGACGATGTCATTGACCAGTTTGCCACAATGAAAACAAGAAAACATTCATTCTAAGACCATAATATCGAATGTCATTCTTTTGTGTATTGCCGTGTTTTGCATTTAGTTGTTCTGAAAGTGAACAGTTGCATTTTAAAAATCTTTTGATTTGAACTGATTATTTTGTGGTATTGGATTTTGTCTTGGATCATACATGTAAACAGTAACGTACCGGTCAGTAGAGTAAAGTAGAGCATGTATGAAAATTTAGCTACAGCTAACCATTCAGCATAGGGTGAATCGGTGTCATTGGGGTGACATTTGAGCGGACCGCCCCGGGTGACGTTTACTCTAGCTACGCCACTGCTGACGAGGCAGATTTTTTTTCCCGCAGTAGGTTGCCATTACTTTCTGCGGTAGACCAATTGCCATCCAAGGCTATAGAATCTGGATTGTCTTGTTATTTACCTATAACTGGGAGGGGGAGAAGAAGAGGATTCAGACTTTCCCAAGATTATTAGCACGTAAGTGAATGGAATTGAGTGGAATCAATCTGAGCCATTATCCATTATTCCACCGTGCCTCCAAAATACCTCTCATATAATGGTAAGGCATTGGCTAGATCAAGTCATCATTTCCAATAATGTCTCACCATTATGTGGGAGTTATTACTGGGAAATATATGCGGGAGCTCTTTCTGCTGATTAATTTATATCTATATATCTATTAGGGAAAATGCATAAGAGTCAAAGTCGATAGCAGGACTCGGAGTTTCATGCAAACTTGCATTCTTATATCATACTCATAACTATCTATATATTTATCTATCTATCTATCTATCTATCTATCTATCTATCTATCTATCTATCTATCTCAGTCTGTTCATTATCTATCTATCTATCTATCTATCTATCTATCTATCTATTTATCTATCTATCTCTAAACCTCCCACCCTCTCTATCTCTCTCGCCATATATATATAAGATAGATATAAAGGAAAAAGTTAAAATATTTTCTAATCTATCTATAATACATCATAACCATAACTATCTGTATATTTAGTTATTTTTTTCTTTTATCTATCTATCTATCTATCTATCTATCTATCTATCTATCTATCTATCTATCTATCTATCTATCTATCTATCTCTCTCCCTCCCTCCCTATCTCTATATATATATATATATATATATATATATATATATATATATATATATATATATATATATATATATATATATATATATATATATATATATACATATAGGTAGATATGAAAGAAAAAAGTTCAAATATTTTCTAATGTATCTATCTATCTATCTATCTATCTATCTATCTATCTATATACATATATATATAACCCCTCCTCCCTCTCTCTCTCTCTCTCTCTCTCTCTATATATATATATATATATATATATATATATATATATATACAGATAGATAGATATGAAAGAAAAAAACGTCAAATATTTTCTCATCTATCTATCTATCTACCTATAATATATATGATATAGGCATATATTATTTTTTTATTTATGTAAAAAACTTTACGATTATCTAAGATAAATAACTGTGACAGAGTTTGTGGACAGTGTTATGAATCCCAACTGTTAATTATTTTCATATAGTTCATGCATTTTTTAAATTACGACACCATTTTTATTGGTAAATTTACAATAGTCACGTAGTTTTAGGCCTGTGATTTGAGATGATATCTAGAAAAGAAAATGTCTGAATATCTGGGGAGAGGAGGCATCATCATACTTATTATAAAACCCAGGTTGTGTGTGTGTGTGTGTGTGTGTGTGTGTTCGTTTATTGGATTGGATTTCCTACATTTTTCAACCGATTTCAACAAAACTTCACAGGACTACGTAAAATTATCCTTGCGGTGGTTCTGACAGCGCCAAAAATTGGAAAAACACAATTGTTTTTGCACAAAATCAAATTGAAAACACGAAAAGAGGCATCGCTGTCGCGAAAATGAAAGGGGGACAACTCATATCGAGTTATACTTATAATAAAACCCAGGTTGTTTGTGTGTGTGTTCGTTTATATATGGGATTGGATTTCCTACATTTTTCAACCGATTTCAACAAAACTCACTTTTTTTTTTGGCAGGTAGTGTTTCTTATTGTCTTGGACACTTTTTTCTTTATTTTTACATTCAGAATGCTTTAAAAATTCCATTTACAAGACAATTGTTTATAATAAAATTCTATTCAATCAGTAGACTCATAACGATTGAAAACAATGTTTTTGTTTGAGTTTGGGTTTGACCAATTCGTAAAAAAAAAAAAAAACTAATTAAGACATGCATGTCCGTCAACCTTAAACAATAATCTTTGTCAATTTTATTTTTCAGTCTTTATGATGGTCGATACTTGATCTATCTCTTACTGTTACATCCCCGTGCAACGCCGGGTTCTACTGCTAGTAATTTATAAAATTTACATATGAATTATTGTTTCCATCTTGGTTGTTGTTATCACAACGATTGGTCGGTTATGTCCTGCGGTCTCCCTAGAGAGAATATCGAACTGGGTAACCGATAGGGAATTCTGAATTGAAATCTTGAAATCTTGTCCGACAGGGTTATCTTATCTAGTTCTTATTTTTAGTCTTGCTCGGTTATTGCTCACTCTGTGTCTACTCCAACCCATGGACACACTGCCCGACCCAGGGATTGAACTCTTAGTTCTTGTTTTTAGTCCTGCTCAGTTATTGCTCTCCCTGTTTCCACTCTTGTCCAAGTACACACTGCCCGACACAGGGATTGAACTCACAATTACTATGTCACCAATTACGAAATGAACCCTTTATTTAATCTACGTGGTTAGACTGTTCTCGTTCCACTGCCCATGTCTCGGGATATCTCGTCTAATTCTTAGTTTTATTTAGTATGGTTCAGTTACATTAAACGTATAATAAGTTGAATATTGTGTAATTTCCAAACGTAATCCTTAATCGTATCAGTGTCTATCCGGTGTAATTTGAATCGGATGCCAGTTTTTATTCTGCTTCCAATAACAGTGCACATATTCATTTAAACATATTTTCTCGTCCTGATATAATTTGAATCGAATGTGACTTTTTCTACTGTTCTCAATAATAGATACACATATTCAATTCATAATATTTTGACCTGAAATAATTTGAAACGAGTGTGAGCTTTTATTCTGTTTCCAGTAATAGGTAGACATATTCAGTTAAACATATTTTCTCCTGATATAATTTGAATCGTTTGTGATGTTTTATACTCTTTCCAATAATAGACACACATATTCATTTAAACATATTTTATATACTTTATTTTATCTTCAATATCTTGCAGACATTAATTTAAGGTAATTTCTTTTGTATTTCTATTTGGAAACGTGCGTGACTTTTATTTTTATATCCAATACCATGCGGTCATATTAATCTAGTCTTATTTATGTTGTGTTTTTTCCCTATAAATCGTCTGTAACTTATTTTACTTACAATAGCTTGCAGTCATATTGATTTAGGCTTATGGCTTTTGTATGAATTTGGCAACCAGTGTGATTTTTATTTTTATTTCGAATAATTTGCAGATATGTTGATATAAGCTTATTTCTTTAGTGCTTTATAGTTTTGAAGAGAATGTGACTTTTTATTCTATTTCTAGTAAATTGTATGTATATTATTGATTTAGGTTTATTTGCTTTGTGATTTTCTATTTTGAATCGACTGTGACCTTTTTATTTTATTTCGAGCAATTTATAGGCATATTGATGTAGTCTTTCGTCTTTTTTTCTATTCTGAATCGAGTGTGACTTTTTTATTTCATTTCCTATATCTTGCAAACATATTACTCTAATTTTATATCATTTGAAAATTTAGGTTTTCGAATTGTTTGTGACTTTTTATTTTATCTTGAATATCTTGCAGTCGTATTGAGTTAGGCTTATTTCTTTTGAGTTTTTTTTTTATTTTGAACATTTGTAAAATAATGAGGATAGAGGGATTGGAAAATCTGACACTCACAGGAGTGATTTAAAATAAGAGGGACAGAGAAAAGCAACGTATACCTGGAAAGCCAGAGAAAATGAAAGGTGAGGCAAAGTTTAGGAGATATAACAAAAATAAAAAAAATTAATAAGAGCTCCAAACAACGGGTAAGTGTGGAGAGCCATGATTTCTAAAGTCTCGAAGGTACATAGTAGTAGTGGTAGTAGTAATAATATTAGAAGCAGAACTGAGCCAAAGCTGTGAAGAGAACACATGGCCTGAATAAACCATTTTTGATCAGATTTGACACGTGTTCTTCTACTTAATATGGCGTGTACCTTCAGGACTTAGGCGATCATGGCGCTCCACAACGTCCTGTCAATTGTAGGTCTTTCTGTTATTTGTTATAAACGCTGATCCGCCATTAATTTAGCAATCTCATTATGTTATGAAATGTTTTCCTGTTGTCCTCTATCTGTCCCGTAAGTAACAGATTTTTCAAGCCCTCCATCATGCCCCAGAACCATCATCGGTCTCTACCAGATTCTCCAAGAGCCACTTCCGCATCATATTGCCCCAGAAACCTCAACTGTAGCTTACAGATTTTCCAAGTGCTCCTTCCTGGTTATATTGACCCAGAAAACTCAAATGAGTCTTGCAATATTTCCAAGCCATCTTTCCTCATTATATAACCCCAGAAAACTCAAATATCTCTTGCATATGTTCCAAGAACTCCTTCCTCATTACATTGCCCCAGACAATTCAAATGTCTCTTGCAGATTCTGCAAGCCCTCTTTGCATATCATATGGCCCCAGAAACCTCAAAAGTCTCTTACAGATTGTCCAAGCCCTCTTTTGCACATTATATGGCCCCAGAAAACTCAACTCTCTCTTCCAGATTTTCCAAGCCATCTTTGCACATTATATTATCCCAGAAACCTCAAATGTCTCTTGCAGATTTTTCAAATCCTCTTTCCTCATTATATTGCCCTAGAAAACACATCTGTCTCTTCCAGACATTCCAAGCACTCCTTTTTCATTATATTGCCCCAGAAACCTCAACTCTCTCTTCTAGATTTTCTAACCCTTCCTACATCATTATATTACCCAAGAAACCTCAAAAGTCTCTTCCGGATTTTCCAAGCACTGCTACTTCATTATATTGCCCAAGAAAAATCAACTGTCTCCTCCAGATTTTCCATGACCTCTTTCCTCATTATATTGCTGCAGAAACCTCAAATGTCTCTTGCACATTTTCCAAGCACTCTTTCCTAAAATAATTTCTTAAAATAATTGTCGGACTTTGTCCATTTTATAATCTGTGACATCATTTGTTTACATTTGGATACGCATTGAGCAGATATGAATGTACGTGAGAGATTCATAGAAGATTGAAGTTTAAATAAAGTAAATTCGACCTTGCCAATCGAACGATCCTCTTTGGCCCAATCGGTTAAGGCACGTCAGGCTATATGACGGTTCCGTATAGGATACAGGTTCGAATCCTGTCGGCGGACGAATATTTTCTATGAAAATTTTTCGGATATTCAGGCCGGTAAATGTTGTTTAATACTGTTTATTATAAATATTTGTATCTATAAAAAGAATGTATAAACATAAAAATGCCTTAATAAATATATATATATATATATATATATATATATATATATATGAAGCAATATAGTCTTAAGGTGTGCTATATTTATGAGATAAAGTATTCAATATCAGAGATAGAGCGTGTGTAAATATAAAAGTGAACATTGAAGTCAACACTTAGAGATCACAGACTGTTTCATACTAGACGCAATCGTCAGGCCACCAAGCCAGAATCCCTCTTATATATATATTTTAACGAAGTGAGGGGGAGTGAGAAGACATGAGTGAGTTATATGTAATTTAAATTACATTTAACTCACTCATATTACATATGCTTAATACGACCCGTCAAAAATGTATAAATTTCTTTTCATTTTTTGTTACATCCTTTGGAAGTAAAGTCTGATGATCCG